ATATATATATATATATATATATATATATATATATATATATATATATATATATATATATATATATTAATTTTTTTAATTCACCTCCTTAAGGCCGAGAAGGCCACTACAGACGAGGAGGCTACGTATCTGTGGTTATAACCCTCTCTCAACTCTATAACTCCGAAACACGAACCTTGACGAGCTAGGCCTATATATATATATATATATATATATATATAGAGACGAGCTAGGCCTATATATATATATATATATATATATATATATATATATATATATATATATATATATATATATATATATATATATATATATATATATATATATATATATATAAATATATATATATATATATATATATATATATATATATATATATATATATATATATATATATATATATATATATATATATATATATATATATATATATATATATATATATACTCTTGCATGATAGTTAAAAGAGTTTCCCATAAACTGTAGTTTTAAAGAGCGCGTTAATAAACCAGACTAGAAAAAGTTTAAAAACTTAATTTCTTTTTTTTTTTTTTAAATGATAGACTGCCTGCCCAAACCAAGCCCTCAGTCGATGTAGCAGCACTCCCTTGCGAGTCAGGCTATTTGTCAGTCGTTGTAACAGCACTCCCTTGCGAGTCAGGCTATTTGTCAGTCGATCTAGCAGCACTCCCTTGCGAGTCAGGCTATTTGTCAGTCGATGTAGCAGCACTCCGTTGCGAGTCAGGCTATAAGATAGTCGATGTAGCAACATTTACGCATGTTTTAAAAATATTTTTTAATAAAACAAAAACAAAAACACTACAAAATAAAAAAAACTTTCTAGTCATTTTTTTTTTTTTTTTTCTTGCATTTTGATCGGAATTCAAATTCAGAATTCAATTCTACATAAGAAAAAGTCTATCTGCGAAGATATAGAACGTTTCCTTGTTTCTTTTCGATATAAATGCGGGAAAAACCCAAGATTACTTTACGCCTTTTAGATTATAACTGATATCTTAACTGAATTTAATGCAGTAGTCGTAAAATAAAACCTTTCTAATAGAAAATTTAATTTTGAATCGATTTGAATCGAATTCGCGGGTGTGAAAATACATTGTTGCTCTTGTAAGAACGGTTTTTATGCATTTTGATTGGATTTTTGTTTAATAACTCAGAAGGTATTGGTCGGGCGACATTCCGTGTGTCGCAATTCGACTCAGAATTCAATTCTACGTAAGAAAAAGTCTATTCGCGGGTGTGATATTTAATTTTGAAAAATCTCTGCATTTTAGGGACTACCGTAAAGTTTCTATTTTAGTAATTTAAATGGTACAGACTTTACCATATGAAAACTTTAAATCAACAATTCACTTTAGTGCATACATTTTATTACAGTGAACTGTTTGATCTCATTATAAAAAATTAGTGATTAGTTATAATTTAATTAGTTATTATGTATAATTTACAAAATAAAGTTTAGTGTCACTTGTATAGTTTAAAACTTGACACCTTAATAAAATAAACAGCTCATTCACTTTTACCTTCAATGTTGTTATTCTGACTTTTTTTAATACTTATTATTCTCCTTTTTGATATAATTATTTTTTGGTCACTATCTATATTATTATTTTTTGTTGCTTGTTTGCTTCAAACAATGATCTCATTATAAAACAATAATGTATTTTTTATTAATATATTTTATTACTTTTTTTTTAATATATTTTATTGCTTTTTTTTTTTAAGATAAAAGCATTTAGTAAGTAATATTTAGTATGTATTATAATGCCAAGTCATAGCAAATGTATAGTTGGTATCTGTAATAATGAAAAATAATACCCGGACATGCACAAGTTACCAACATGTAAAGAAAGAAGAAATGCATGGATACATTATGGTAGCACTGGTATAAAAGATTTTGTTGTCCCTTTTTTGTTTGTTCAAATCACTTCCTTGAAGAAAAATCTACAATAGATAATCCTGATCCAACTTTGTTTTTAAAAATCTCTACTAACACCATAACAACACCATAAAAGAGAAAAGTACCAGTTCCACGAAACTCAATTATTTATTCTAAAAAGGTTTTAGTTATGAAAGAAACTAATTCAAATTTGATAGATGATTCAACATCAACATCATAATTAGGAGACATAATATAGCCTTAGTTAATTCAATAGAACTTGACCTTTTTTTTAATTTCAAACTTTTGTTGCTGCCATCCCAATACGTCATAAGAGAAGCTTTTTGTTTGAGATAATTAAAGACACTTGAAAATTTTAGTACTCATCAAACCTGTAAAAAAATTACACATCATTTGCACGTGTCAACTAGCAGAAAATCGTTGCGACAGACACTGGAAATTCACTAGATGATGCGGTATTGCGGTATCAATAACCATTTCTGCTTGATACAATTTTATCTTGACATTCCGCTTTATCATAATTTAGTATCTCTTACTGAGTAACCATATTAAACAGACGTTAGGGGTTGTCTCCATTCCTCCATTTTTTTATTTAATTTTCCATTCAAAACCAACAATCGCAGCTCGTGATTTTTATTTTTAATTTCAATTTTATTTTCATTTTTGTTTAAAACTACAATTTTATTTTCATTTTTGTTTAAAACTACAATTTTATTTTCATTTTTGTTTAAAACTACAATCTTAATTTCATTTTTGTTTAAAACTACAATTTTATTTTCATTTTTGTTTAAAACTACAATTTTATTTTCATTTTTGTTTAAAACTACAATTTTATTTTCATTTTTGTTTAAAACTACAATTTTATTTTCATTTTTGTTTAAAACTACAATTTTATTTTCATTTTTGTTTAAAACTACAATTTTATTTTCATTTTTGTTTAAAACTACAATCTTATTTTCATTTTTGTTTAAAACTACAATTTTATTTTCATTTTTGTTTAAAACTACAATTACGCAACAGCTAGTCCTAAGCTTTTCCATTCTCCATAAACAAATAAAAAATCCTCCCAATAACTTAATGGAACTTATTTCAATGATAATATCAACTCCAAATGGTCTGAAATTTACCAAAATAACTTCATCGCGAACATTGTTATAACTAGCCTCGATATTACAGTCGCGTATCCAATACATTAATCAACCCTTCCTTCAAAAGTTACCGTTGGAAAGTTTATGATAAATTGTATAATAAAAAAAAATAGAATAAAATAGAAAATTAAAAAAATAATAAGAAGAAGCAGAAATTAATAACTTTTTTATTTTTTTCTGTAAATAGTTAACTGATTCTCGCTTTAGTTTCTTTTTTCCTTTTTCATTTTTATCGACTGAAGTTTTTAGTTCTATTAACAGGGCTGAATGATAAGACTATGTTTTCTGCTAGCTCTGTTCGAAACTTTAATGTTACATTTTTATGTTGTAAAAACATAGTAAAAGGTTATTTTTTAATGACGAAAATATAAAAAAAAAATAATAATAAATAAAAAAAAAATAATAATAATAATAAATAGAAAATATATATATATAAAAAAATAATAAATAAAAAAAAAAAAATATTAATAAATAAATAAAAATAAAAAGTTTTTTTTTAATTTTCTGAAAAAAAATTTAAACTGATTTAAAATCGTATTTTAATATCCCGTGTTTACCATAGCTGACGCCCGTGTTTACCATAGCTGACGCCCGTGTTTACCATAGCTGACGCCTCCATATCATTAATTTTAAAACGAATAATATAATGCACTAACTCCACTGCAGTTTAGAAGCGAGGTCTCGCAGATTTCCTCGCTTTTGTATTCGTTTCCCTGCTTCTTAATATAAAGCGACGTGTTCTTTGTCACTACGTTTGAAACACCGAAAGATTTTCTTCAAGGAAGTTTTTTTGTGTAAAACAATTTTTTACACAAAAAAAACTCTTTGAAGAAAAATGTGACATACTTAAGGATTTTTTGCAACATGATGCCATTACACAGCGTCTTTTCTTATGCTGTTTAAACCAGCTCTCATTTTTGGAATCATGATATTGGTTGGGTCCATTCGAATTCTGGATGATAAAACTTCGGGCGGTCCTATGACGTACGCCAAACGCACTGACACTTTTGACAATTTGGCAAGATAAGCCAATCGTTTCAAATCAGCCACAAATACATTGGCTTTTTTCTTCGTCATATAATTTTAGTTTCGTGGAAAACTCATTTGCAATGTAAGAATCCGCAGAATACACTGACAGCAGCATATTCTTTACTTCGTTTGCACCTTCAACGGTTAAACCGTCATAAATCAAATAAGTATTTTTCAAAGAATATTTAGAAAGAGTTTCAGTTTTTATGCTAAATTTCAGCAATTACTTTTGTTTTTTATATCTCTACAGAAGAATTTTGAAATTCCGTTTTTATTTTTCAAGAATATCTAATAAATTCATACTTCATTCAACTCCAGGATAGCTTGTAATTTTCTCGCATAAACACAACACTAATTTTAAGATTTATTTTTACTATTTCTTTACACAATAAAAACCTGTGGAAATTTCAATTATTTAATAAAACTTATTCTCAAATTGTTATTAAACTATTAAATTTAGTGTAAACATCAAGTTATATTCTAGTACTTTATGTAATATAATCACAGTTATTAGTTGTTTTAGCATACTTACTTGGCTAACTTAATAAGTTTAATCTATTCAATGTGCCGGCTAGTACTGCGCCTAATATGTCTTTCCACAAAACGACCTTGCCAAGGTATATGTTTTAGAAAAATATGGTTAAGAGAAAGGTGTAACAGTAATGGTATAAAAAAAAACTTATAATCAAAATAGATTTTGTAATGATCAAAATAATTTTTTCTAAGTATTATACTAAATAATTTCTATAAAATAAAAATAAAAATAACTTGCCATGTTTCAAAATAGAAAATACGGTATATTTTTTAAAATTTGATTTTTCAAAATTTGAAAAATTTGAAAGATTTTTCAAAATTTGAAAAAAAGGCAACTGAAAAAGAAAAAAATAATTAACATAAGTAAAGTTTACCTGCAAAAGAAGCACCTTTAACAATATCATGATCAAGCCAAAAGTTAGTGATTTCTTCTTTTTTTGGTACGTCTTTTTCACTAGCTTTATCCTTACTCTTTTTCATAACAGACTTCTCATAAGAAGATAATTTATAGACAGTTTTCTTTTTAATAAAAGTTTTTTCTTTCTGTTCACAATATTCTATAACAGTCTCCACTAAACGATGACACAAAAATCGATCCAAACAACATACAATCACAGGTAGCATACACTTTTTTTTTAAGACTTTGATTAAATTTATAAATGCATTTAGTAAAAATTCCTCGTTTTTTAATTTAAATAACTGTTTATTTACTTTCAATTTTTTAAAATTGCTTTCTGACTCAAATAACATATGCTGAACTTCTTCAAAATATTTCCTATTTGATGTCCAGCTAAAAAGCTCATTTTTTAACTCGTTTTCGTATAATTTAACTTCATCGCGGGTTAAAAATGTTTTATCAAAAAAATATTGCGATGGAGAAAGATTAACCAACTCTGGCTTTTCTGAATGTATTTTTTTCATTGCTTCATAAAGTTTCAAACATTCTTTTGGTGACAAAGTAATATGCTCTGATATTCCTCCCGCAATAACAGCTGATAATTTTAATGTACAAATTGGATGAATTCTTTGAAGGCTTCCCAACTTCTGATAATTCTTTGTGTTTTCTGGAAGATAGACAAAAGTTTCTAAATCAGAATATCTATTTTTTACAATAACTAATTCAACTTGGTAAGACAAATCATCTCTTTTACTGTTAAGCATTATTTTATTCTTTTTTTGAAAGTTTTGAATATCTTGAAGCCAACTACGAAGAACTTCAGGGTTTGCAACTGTTGCTGAAAGTGCAAGAAAAGGACATGAAATAATACACAACAAACGTTCCCATGTCTCAGCACCAGTATCTGCACCAATTAAGTGAATCTCGTCAAAGATAACATATTTTATTTTTTGAGACCATGCATAGGTTTGGATGGACAGCAGAAGAATTTCAAGACATTGTGGAACAGTGATGAGTATCTGACAGTTATTCACATTATGTTTATAATCCCTTGTAAATACCCCACAAATTGACTTTCCAGCAGGTAATTCAGTTTTTGTAAATTTACTATTCACATAAACATGTACTTGATTTACTAACGCTTTTGTTGGAGAAACGTAAACTAGAACATCATCGTTACTAGTTCTTAATATTTTCTCCATGCAGTAATATGAAGCATATGTTTTACCTGAACTTGTTGGAGCAATTATTACTGCAGATTGATTATTATCAACTACATCAAAGAGTTTTCTTTGCCACGTATCGGGAATAAAGTCCGAAATCCTAGGGTCAGGATCACAACGTTCTGTTCTTGACAAAAATTTACCCAAGTATTTCAATTGAAACTCAATATGACATATTGGTTCAGCTTTAGTAGGTTTAACAAAAGACTCTAAGTTGAGCAATTTTAAAAGTTTGAAAAAGCCAGCTTTATTTAAAGCTTTTGCTATGATTTTTTTATCACCCGATGAAAGCGTATTCATATATTTGCTAAAAATATTTGAAACAATTAAATAAAGATTGATGGTGTGATTTAAGTGATTCGAATCTTTATTATGCAGCAAATTTCTCAAGATTGATAACTTTTTTACCTGAAGTTTGATCTTAATCTCATCCGAAGTAAAGCTTTTTTCATTTTCTTGAATAAGTTTTAGAGCTTCAGAAAACCTCAGGTCTTGAATTTGATCTAATAAGTTCTTCCATTTGTCATTATCCTTATTTCTTTTTTCTTCAAGTTTTCTCAGGGTATTCATTTCTATAATTAGTTGTGCTTTTCTAGAAACTTTCTTTTTACTTAAATCTCTACAGTTGTTTATTTTTGTTTTACTCTTTTCTTCTAGGACAATTAATGTTGTTTTAGTGATACCTAAGCTTTCTCCATACATTTGTAGATACTTTGCAAAGCGATTCTTAATATTCTGTTCAAGTTTTCCCACTTTTAACTCTCCTTGTTTAGATATTTGTTTTACTTCTCGTGAAGTTTCTTTTTTAGTCACTTTAATTTCCTTTTTTTCACGTAAAGAAAACATTTCATATTCATCTATTAACTTTTTGCAGTGCCAATGATACTTATCTTCAAATTTTTTAAACTTGAAAGCGATTTGGCTAATGAAAAATAATTGTCAGTCACAACTTCCATCTGATTACATATTTTATCTGCATACAATGTAACAAGCGTACAATCTACTGGAACAATCTGAATTAAATGACTTTCTGGCACTGGTGCTGAAATTATTGTAAGAGAGAGTAGTAGTGATGGAAGATTATTATCAGAAGCAGAAAATGATTTTTTTTTTCTTTTACGAGGATGTACAAATCTAAAATCACAAGGAAGTGTTGATTTCAAAATGCCACCACACTTCTCATCAAACTTATCAATAATATTTTTATAATTGATGAAAATATCACTGTCAAATATAATTTGACCTTTATTTAACTGTTTACAGTATATGTTGCAAAATGTAGCAAATAGGTTACCGTCCCAAATATCACAAACAATTTCATTTTTTTTCAAAACACCAGCCTCTCTTCGATGATGAATAACTTTACTCAGTATCATCTGAAATTTTGTTATCAAAGACTCAAAGTCGACATTATGTTTTACTTTAGGCAATGCTCTTTTCTGCAAAGGAAAACCTTTTTTAAGCAAAACATAAAGTACAACGAGTTTGGCAAAGTCTACATATTTTTGAGATAATAGATGTTGCTTCATAAACAAATATGCTGCAAAAAATTCTGATTCAATATTATTAAACTCTGAAAATGAATCAAATTGTAACATGACTTGCAACTGAAGTTGTTTTTCATAAAAAGCATAATATGTTTTCTTTACCATGCTCTCTCTTTTCCTTTCTTTCTTAGCATTTTTTGCTAAAATAAGATATCCTTTTAAAGATGAGATTCCAACAGTAATATCGTTAATGAAGGCTACGTTTATTTGTAGAGTTAAAATTTTTTCCATTTGTAAAAATAAAGTTTGATACTGACAGTTTTTAAAAGCGTCAAACATCAGAAAAAAGATGGGGTTATTTGTTTGAACCCATATTTTGAAAGAGTTATCCCAAGCATTTTGAAACTGATTCCAAATTGTAATATTTAATTCTTCTTTAAGATGAAAAATTGAAATTTCTCTTAAAAGTTGGTTTTGTGGTTCATTTACAAAAAGAGAATCTTTAAAGAAAACTATATGAAATTTTCCTTTGCGTCTCATAAACTTTTGAAGTTGTCTTTCTACAAGATAAACAAAATGAAGAGTCTGCCCACCATGAACTTTGCTTAAATTAGCATCACAAATTGCTGATAACAGTAAACTGTCGCCGTCAATAAGAAATATTCCTGAGTCAAAATCGCATGAAAGGTTACATAATTGAAGACAGTTGACTAAATACAATGGTTTATTAATAGCTATATCACCATTATTTAAGTTTCCTTGAGAAGAACAACATTGTTTCTGATGCTAAAAACACAAAATTGTTTTTAAACAATGGGTGAGATTTTGAATTAAACATCTTTAAATAAAATATATGTGTATAATTATTTTTTTTTTTTTTATCTGACTTAAATTTTTAGCTTTTATAATAACTTTTTATATGAATAAAAAAGATATATTTAGATGTATACTGTAATATACAGTCATTTGCAAAAGTATAAGACAGCCCATAAAAAAATGTAATTTATTTGAGAAACATAAATAAGCATAATAATTTTTTATTGTTAAATCCTATATTTTACTGTATTTAAAAATCATGACAAAGATGCTTAAGTATTTGTATGTGCATTACGAACATCAATGACTGCTTTTAGTCGGAGGTGTATTTTAGCATCAAGTGTGATGTGCAATTATCTTCCTTGGTTTCCTTTACTCATACATCTTTGATGGCCGCAACTAGTGCATGGGTATTCGGAGGTTGCCTTTCTGCTACTAAATTATCATATGCAAATAAAACTTTTCTCTAAATAATTTAACTTTTACCATTCATAGTTGTCCCATAAGTTAAAATGTCCAATTGTGCAGTTTCGCTCATAGCACCCCTGATGCAATAACTTGGCAGGACTGTCACATAATTTTATTTACGGAGTTGGACCGATACTTTTGCAAATGACAATATATATATATATATATATATATATATATATATATATATATATATATATATATATATATATATATATATATATATATATATATATATATATATATATATATATATATATAACTTAAGTAAAATATTTGAGAAAGCCATGCATATTAGACTTTACAGCTTTTTTGGAAAAATCAATGTCTTTACAATTACCAGTATGGTTTTCGTAGCAAACACTCCAAAAATCATGTACTTAATAATTTAACTGAGTCAAATAGAAAAGCTCTTGACAATAAACTTTTTGCCTGTGGTGTGTTTCTTGATTTAAACAAGGCATTTGATTCTGTTGATCACTCAATCCTCCTAAGTAAACTAGAACACTACGGTGTAAGAGGTATTGCTTACCAATGGTTTTTATCATATTTTTTTATTTGGTCACAGTTTGTCGCTATCAATGATGCTAAATCTTTTCCAATATTTTTGTCCAAAGGTGTACCGCAAAAATCTGTATTAGCTCCGTTGCTTTTCCTTATTTGTATAAATGATCTCTAATATGTCTTTAAAATTTTCAACTGCTTACTAATTTGTTGATGACTCAAACATACTTCTTACGAACAAATCATTTAAAAAAATCAACAAGCATTTAAATCATGATTTATCCAATCTTCTTTAATGGTTGCGATCTAACAAGTTAAGTCTTAATACCAGCAATACTGAACTTATCATTTTCAAATCAATCTAAAATTACTAAACACTTGAACTTAAGACTAAGTGTCCAAAACTTCTTTCCTGTAATTTCTTTAAAATATCTTGAAATCCAAATTGACTCGAATATATATATATATATATATATATATATATATATATATATATATATATATATATATATATATATATATATATATATATATATATATATATATATATATATATATATATATATATATATATATATATATAACAATAATAATAATAAGGTATAACGGTAACAACTGTTTTAATCAGTTGCGAAGTGCAATAACATATTGCACTGTAACAGCTCATTTTGTCTTTTGTTTATGTTTTAACAAATAGTTTCTGCAAAATCCAGCTCTGTCTAGTTTGTTTTTGAAGTTATTTATTGAAGTAGCTTCTATTATTTCAGATGGTACGCTGTTCAACGCATTTACAACTCGATTTTGGAAAAAATGATACCTGAAGGTATTTCTGCTAAAAGGCTTCCTTATTTTGAATTTGTGTTGTCGCAGACATGAACCCTTCTCTAATGCATTTCCACAATCGTTAGCAACCCAATTTATTTTATCGTGGCCATGCTGAATTTTATATTGTTGAATCAGATCTCCACGTAGTCTACGTTCTTCCAGTGACGTTAATTGCATACTTTTCAACCTAGCCTCATATAATAATTTCCTAATTGTAGGTGCTAGTTTGGTTGCTCTTTTTTGGATTTTCTCAATCTTGTCAATGTCTTGTTTTAAAAATGGAGACCATGCCTGGACCGCAAACTCAAGATGTGGACGTATGAACGTTGTATTGAGCATTTTTACTATGTTTACATCTAAATATTTAAAGCTTCCCTTAATGTATCTAACATTCTATTTGCTCTGCTGGTTGCTGAATTAACTTGTGAGTGCCATTTTAAATCGGATTGAACCATTATACCCAAATCATGTTCAGCTTTTGTGTTACACAATGTATAATTGTAATTGCAATCAATATCAGTCATTATAAATGTAGCATTTGGATTTTTTTTCCCAATATGCATAACTTTGCATTTTTCATAATTAAATTTTGTAAGCCAAATAGATGACCATGCCATTATATTATTTATATCATTTTGAAGGTTTATTGAATCATTAGGATTTTTTATAATACTTATAATTTTACTATCATCAGCGTAAAGTTTAATAGGGTTTTTGACTTGATCTGGCAAATTGTTAATAAAAATCAAAAACAGCAGTGGTCCTAAAACTGACCCCTGTGGTACACCACTAATAACTGGTAGCCAATCTGAGACAATGTCGCCAAGGACCATTTGTGCTTGTCTATCATTTTTTAACACTGTTTGGATATTCTCATCATTCTCATTCCATTTTATATTTGGGTAATTTAAGTCTCCGGCTAAGAGTAGACCTGAATATTTGTTGCAATCAACACTTTTTTTAGCTATATTTATTATTTTATTTATTTTTTGATTTGTCAATTCTGTAGCATCTGGTGGACGATATATGCTACCAATTAAGATATTCTCATTTTCTGTTTTAATGACACAACAGACTTGTTCAACTGTCATTTCATCAGATGCTAGGTCATGTGGAGTATAAGTAATGTATTTATTTTAAACAAAAATAGCTACACCTCCGCCATGAGATTTAGTTGAACTAGATTTAGATCGATTGTTGTAAAAAACATTATACCCGCTTACATTTATGGCACTTGATAAGTTAAACCAAGTTTCAATTACAATAAATTTGTCAGGATTATACACTGCGATTTCTAACAAAAACAAATCGAATATATACATATATATATATATATATATATATATATATATATATATATATATATATATATATATATATATATATATATATATATATATATATATATATATATATATATATATATATATATATATATATATATATATATTTAATTGATATTAAATCCTTTCATAGATATGTAGACGATAGCCACGCAAGGTTGTCTAACTTAAATCAAGCGGAACAGTTCCAAACAATTCTTAACAGACAACATCCTTCTTTAAAATATACTATTGATTTTGAGAACATAAATAAAATGAATAAAACTGTTATTAATAATACACAAGGAAAATATGAGTTCAAGGTTTACAGGAAGAGTGCAATAACCAATATCCAAATCAAACCCATTCTAATCATGATCCTAAAATTTTAAAAGCAATATTCAACGGATACATACACAGAGCATACTCAATATGCAGTGAAAACCATTTAAAAAATAAGATAAATTTTTTAATTCAAGTGTTTACTGAAAATGGATACGATGAAAAACTGCTTTAAGAAATTTTTGATCAGGTTCGAAAAAATTTTTTTGCGAACAAAAATAAAATTCCATCAAACTTTAACAACCTTTCTACAATCTCTTTACCATGGATACCAATAATATCTCCCAGACTTAGAAGAAAAGCTAGTTACAGAACTGTTTTTAAATCAAATGCTAACCTAAAAACGCTATTAACGTCTAAAAATAAGTCTAAATTACCACGCAACAGCACTCCAGGAACCTATTTAATTAAATGCAAATGCTCCAAAGTATATGTTAATGAAACAAAACTTCAAATACGAACAAGGGTTCAACAACACCAAAATTTTTTGACTGAAAGCAAGTAAAACCAGTCTGCATTAGCTTTGCATAAAGTAAATTGTAATGAGGACATTGAATGGAATAAAGTAATAACACTTAAAGTTGAGGATAAAAAATTTGAAAGAAAAAGTCCGTGAGGCATTGTAGATACAAAAACATCATGGTTCTCCATCGTACGGTGGTATGAATTTGGACAATGGACAATATTTAAAAACAACTTTTTGGACTTCATTTTTTTCATACTTAGGTAAAAGAAGCCATTATAAAGGTGACGTCAAAATTTAAAAAAAATTTTTGTTGTTATTTAACGGTCACAATTTTTGTAATTATATTATATTATATGCTGATGATGCCGCTGCCTATAATGCGGCAAAAAAAAATGTTTGTATGTATGTATGTATATTCGAATCAATTTGGATTTCAAGATATTTTAAAGAAATTACAGGAAAGATTTTTTGGCTACTTAGTCTTAAGTTCAAGTGTTTAGTAATTTTAGATTGAGTTGATTTGAAAATGATAAGCTCAGTATTGCTCGTATTAAGACTTAACTTGTTAGATCGCAGCCTTTGGAGAAAAATATTGAAAAAGATTTAGCTAAAATATTACTGTTAAGAGCTTTTCTAATAGACTCAGTTATATTATTAAGTACATGATTTGTGGAGTGTTTGCTAAGAAAACCATAGTATTGAGAGAATTCGTATTATCTGATCTTTTAAATAAGTTTATATATATTTACTCTCGTACAAGATGTCAACATTTAAATCATATATATATACATATATATATATATATATATATATATATATATATATATATATATATATATATATATATATATATATATATATATATATATATATATATATATATATATATATATATATATATATATATATATAGATATATATATATATATATATATATATATATATATATATATATATATATATATATATATAATATATATATATATATATATATATATATATATATATATATATATATATATATATATATATATATATATATATAGATATAGATATATACATATATATATAAATATATATATATATATATATATATATATATATATATATATATATATATATATATATATATATATATGCATATGTACATGTGTATGTATGTGCGTGTATGTATGTGTGGAAATGTATTTGTTTTTGTGTGCATATATGTGTATGTGTGTATATATATATATATATATATATATATATATATATATATATATATATATATATATATATATATATATATATATATATATCTATATATATATATATATATATATATATATATATATATATATATATATATATATATATATATATATATATATATATATATATGTATATATATACACACATACATATATATACACACATACACATTTATATTTTTTATCCTCAACTTTAAGTGTTATTACATAAATATATATATATATATATATATATATATATATATATATATATATATATATATATATATATATATATATATATATATAAATGTATATATACATATATGTGTATGCATTATTTTAATTTATAGTTATTATTTATATTATTGTTGTTGGTATTATTTTTGTGGTTAACATCGTTATATAACTTTTACAGTTACTGTTATTTCTTCTTTTTTTTAAAATTATCACCTTTTATCTGATTTTTACTTTGATTTGTATTATCTTTATTTATTTTAATTAAATTTGATAGGTGTTTACTTAAGTTAGTATCATTACTATTTGTAAATATCCTTGATATAAGATCTTTTATTCAGAATAAACTTGATTTGATTTGATTTTGATTTGATTTGATTTAATTATAAATGCCAAGGTATACTTAATACAATTATAGAACTATTCTTCTAACTTTTTATGTTCTTGAAGCTCTATAATCAGCGCTGTCTCGAAGGGAGGGGAGATGTAGGGAGTCTCCTACCCCAAAGCTGTCATAAAAGCATTTGAGTTGGCACATTTAACAAGTTTTGAAGTTTAAAACATGAAATTTGCTATTTATAGTTCAAAATATGAACTATATTTGGCAAATTGTGAATATTGAGAACCTTTTTTTTTTATGTTGGCAAAAAATACATACACCCTGGATGACCTCTTCGGAACGGCCCTGTTTATTAAGTGTATATATATATATATATATATATATATATATATATATATATATATATATATATATATATATATATATATATATATATATATATATATATATATATATATATATATATATATATATATATATAACGTCTTTTTTTTGCACTTTCTGATTGTAGTTACAGTATGACTTAATTACTGAAACACTATAAAGCCATCATATCACGTCCAGCTAGGTATTAATTAGCATTGATTACTTATATATAAACACTTCTATGCAATAATACATTAATATCAACAACAATAATATGTATTTATTATTTGCTTTGATCTCTTGTTATTAATATAATTATTTATATTAGCATAAAAGTTATATTTACATCTGTTTTTTTTAATAAGTCTTCTTTATCATCCATTTTGCTTTCAAGCTAAAAATAAACATTTTTTTTAATAAATTTAATGTAGGTTTTTTTGTAGAAAAAAAAAATTGCGAAAAAAAATATCAAAATAACATTAAAAAAGAGTTATTTAAAAGGTTTGGCGTAGTATAAAAGAAGGCAAGCAAAAAATATTAAACAAAAATGTTTAATCTATTAATTTAAAAGTAAATAACTTTAAAACCTAAATTTCAAACTCAACAAATATTACCGTTAAAATGGGTCAAAGGAAACATGTTACAAAACATCGTAAGTTGTATGTAAGTTTAATCACCAAGTTAGTTTGTATATAGAATAAACCACGAATTTAGATTGTATATAAGATAGAGCGCTATATTTAAAATTTAACTATGAAACTAATAATAGTAAAAGTATAATATAATTAATTTTTTAATATCTACTATTAAATATTAAAATAAAACTTTTAATATCATGTTAATTTCGCTAGAAGGTTAAAATTTTATTTAGGTGCAATGAAATTTAAACTATTTAATATTGAAATACAAAACCGTAATCAAAATTTAAGCAGTTAAACCCATAAATTGTCTAGTAATACAAGCAACTTGTTGTTTTGTTGATGTTGTTGACAAATGTTGTTGCTATGCAAAATTAAGTATCCGTTGCATCAAAATAAAAAAGTTTCTTCCTTAAGAAGCACAATTTAATAATGACACTAATATCAGTGTTAATGAATGTAGAATGTAGAATATAAAATTAATTATTAATTTTTTCTTAAAATTGGCTATTCTTGTTTTAATATAAAATCAATGTTTCTTATGAAAAATATATGTTTTCGTTTGATGACATATTATATAAGTAGATTTTTAATTTCGATTCAGAAAACTGAAGCCGCTATTACCTTTTTTGCAAATGGCGGAATAAATTTTTTAACAAATAAAGCTTAACGTTAAAGTTAAACATCTAATATATATAGCGAATTTTGCATTTTTAAGATTTCTAATAATAAGATGGTGAATTCTTGTTCTGTATATGGTTGCTTAAATAGATACATAAAAAGAAGTAACATATCTTCTCATAAGTTTTCAGTTTATAACCAAACAATATGCAAAAAGTGGACAATCGCATTAAAACGTAAGAAGTTTACTCCATCGAAGCAGTAGGTTTTTTGCAGCGATGATTTTTTACCTACCGATAATAATTTTTGTGAAAATCCTCCTAAATCTCACTTATAAATTGATGCTATTACTTTTTCTTTTTTCGACAGTAAATAACTTAAAAAGAAAATGTCAAACCTTTAGTCCAACTCCAATCATAAATAATTTTTCTTCCATTCCTGAAACTGTCGACGATAAGTCGACGATGAGTAGGTAAAAAACTTAAAATTCGAAATAAAGTTGAATTTTTAGTTTTTGCTGGTCCTATTACTGTTTTATTATCTCAAGGAAAAACTTTATAAATATTGCAAAAAGAAAAAAATAACTTCGCAAGTACCGTATAAAGAACAAATAAATTTATAAACTCGTAAAAATGACATGATTAGTAATAATAACAAATAAATTTAAGTTTTCAAATTTATACAAAAACATTTTTCCCCATTCCAATTTAATATATTCTTTTTGAACCCCTAGAGACCTTTTGAGCACATGGTTTTATTGTAAAGGAAATTCTAAAGCGAGGTGGCTCTATATAAAACATTATTTGTATTTTTATAATTAGAGCCTTTGAGCGGTACACTGTTAAAAAATTCTAATGATGCCCTTTCTCTTTTAGACAAGGTGCAAAAACGCATTGTAAACATAGTTGGACCTGCACTTGCAGCCAACCTTCAACCTCTGTCACATTGTCGTAATGTTGCTTCTCTTTTTCTTTTCTACAAATACTATAATGGGCACTGCTCGAAAGAGCTAGCGTCTCTTGTGCCATCTACTAAAACTCATTCTCGTGTTACTCGTCATTCAATTAATTCTAATCCTTTTTCTGTTACTGTTTTCCTCGAACATCAGTTCTTTGGAATTCGCTTCCTTCATCTTGCTTACATGATTCATATAATTTGCAATCTTTTAAGTCGTCTGTCAATCGTTATCTTGCTCTACAATCTTCATCTTTTCTCTTCCAGTAACTTCTAGCACTAATTAGTGGTTGCTAGCAGCCTTGTTGGAAGCAAAGATAAAAAAAAAAACTAAATAAAAAAATATAACTTTTATAAGAAGTGTAATCTTATAATGGTTCTCATGGCAAATAAATTGAATATAGTACTCGTAAAACATAAATGCAAATACTAAAAATATGTTGTTGCTAAGCAAGACAAACGTATCAATAGTAACGAAATCAAATAATATTACCTTTATAAAAAGCGCAGACATATAAGTAGATTAGCATGAGCTAATTAAGTAAAAATAGCCCTAATACTAAATTAGTTATGAATTTTGTCCAGTAAAAGTGAATTTTGGCCCACAAAGACCTTGCTAATAACAGAAAGATAGCTGTCAGACAATAATATGAGGTGTCAGAATATTCACCCAAGTTTTTGAAAATTGGAACAACAGGTGCCATTTTCTAGCATGCAGGAAAATTATATGACGCAAGCAGCAGACAGATATTATATAACGTATTTATAAAAATTAAAACAATAAATATAAAAATAGCTACATATACGCAGTGCCGCCGAGAGAGGAGAGGGGGAGGGCTAGAAAGACAACTTTTACCGGGCGGCATATATCTATTATTATATTATACTATTATAGTCGCATTATTATTATTATTATTATTATTATCTATTATTATTATAGTCGCATGTTTAATTAATATATAAATTAAACATGCGACTTTATAAATCTAATGTCATTGACATAGGTCAAAATTAATTATACTATAATCAATTGATGGAACATCTTATCATTGATTTTTAATAAAACATTAAAATTTTATCAAATGCTTCTATTTTATTTTACAATTTTTTTTTCTTTTGAATTCCGCTTCAAAAGCATTTAATAATTTAAGTCTTACGCGTTCAAGACGCGTAAGACTTAAATTATTTTAAAAATTTTTATTTTAATATATATATATATTTTTTTAAATAACTCTTTACTTATATTTAATTGAGATTCCTTCTCTAGTTTTTTTTTTTCACTGTTTCTACCATTCTTGATCGATTTACAAGTCAGGGTTTTTGTTTTTATTGCCTTGACTCGGTCATTTTTTTTTGACTAGGTCTTTTTTTGTTTTGTTTAAGCCGACAAATCAAACCCGAACAGACGTTTGGGTTTGGTTTGTTATTAATTTATCTATTTATTTTTTATCTTTTGTTCTTAAAATACGGAATATATATATATATATATATATATATATATATATATATATATATATATATATATATATATATATATATATATATATATTTTTTTTTTTTTTTTTCCTAAATATTTTGTTTATGAACTTGTTTTCTCTAGACATATAACTTTATTTAGTAAGATTTTTGTTATATCTTATATATATATATATATATATATATATATATATATATATATATATATATATATATATATATATATATATATATATATATATATATATATATATATATATCCCAGGCAGCAAACTTACATTAAAACGTTTGGCCAATGCATGATGATGCATTGGCCCAACGTTGAAAGTCGATGTTGGCCCAATGCAGATTTGATCATTGGTTAGGTATTGGCCCAACGTTGTGCACAACATTGGCCCAATGTTGTATATAACGTTTACCCAAAATTGGCCCAACGTTGTATACAACATTGACCCAACGTTGTATACAAAATTGGCCTAACGTTGTATACAACATTGGCCCAATATTGTATATCAGCCTAACGTTTTATGCAACAATATATCGTTGTTACAAATAAGATGATTTGCATCGCTAAATTAAAAATTTATAGAGAAAAAAAAGAATGTATTATACAAGTATAAAAATTAATTTATTTAACATAATTTCTCGGTTAAATATACATATTGCAAACACCAAGCTTAAACCAAAAACTGACACATAGAGTTTCAAATAACAAAATTCACTATAAAAATTTATAGAGTAGTTTCGATATTGGCTGAGCTACTTGTTATTGAATCGTGTTTAGCTTATGATATTTGGTACCCACTATTATTATTTTTTCTATCTCTATCACATGTCTGCATAAGCTATGCTTATTTGACTTATTTGAAAAAAAATAGTTGTTTGTTTAATTATGCACCAAAGAAACATAACAAATTGAAATTAATTCTGTAATGCAAAATTGAGACTGAAAAAATAAACTTTTCTAAACCACTTACCAATAACAACATATGCAATCAACATTTTTCCTATTCCAATTTTTTGTCCTCTCCCTGTATAGTTTAAATTTACAGCTAGGCCATTTTAAAAAACAATTCTTAGTAAATAACAATCTCCTTTGTTTTTAACTCCAATTTGTGCCAAATAATTAACCTGCAAAAATACACAACCTGGCAATAATTAAAGTAACTTTTGTTTAGACTTAAATTAATATAAAATGTCATTTACAAGAAATCTTCAAAGAGTATTTTATTTAAAGTATATAAGTTGTACTAAGATATCATACAAAATGCCTAAACAGATCATAAAAAAATATTTACCATTTACTAAAGTATTTTCTTGTCTTTTTTCTTCCAGAGTACTTGAATTCTTTACTGCTTTTAATGGCACTCTTTCAGGCAATACAATAATTAGCATACCTTTGTTACTCAAATTTTTATAACTGAGTTTGATGTATTTTGTAGTTCACCAAGTTGGACTTTAATGCTTGTCCGTTGTGCCAATAATACCAGCATATCTTTTAAGGATACAACTTTATCTTGAACATTAAAGTTAATTATATTATTAAGAAACTATACAACTAATTACATATTATATTTAGAATTAACGAAAGTAAATACAACAATCACTAATAAAACAGATAAAATTAAAGAAAGAGGGTCAAATTTTTAATGATAAAAATATATACTTGCTAATGGATTCATAATACTTTTATGAATTATGAAATTTGCAGGTGTGCATTCAATTTCTGGCACTGACACAAAACAATTCTCGTTAATGTTTAAGCTTACACATTAACGAGAATTGTTTTTTATATCTTATAAAATACAGATTGCACTGTACAACAAAAAAATTCATATTAAAACAATGTTTCTCCAACAGGGTTCGTAGGCAACTATTTATATAAAAATCAATGACTTTTTCGAAAAACCAGATGAATTTCCCTGACCATTTTTAAGAATGGTTTTTACAAAATGTTTAAAATTACTATCTACTGTAATGGAAATGCTAAAATTGTACATACTTTCAATGACAAAATTTTTAAAACTTAGCTATTAGTTAAGTTGGATATTAGTATGAAGCTTATTATACATGTTAGTATGGATCTTATTATTAAGGATGACTAAGAACGAACACTAAAAAAAACATAAGTTTCAGAAAAATTAAATGGGTAGCTCCAAAAAAAACATAATAGCTTAATTGAGTGCTGTATTTTGAAAATGTGTCAAGTCACAAAATTAAAATTTTAGAAGATAATAAAAAGCATTTCTCCTGTAAAAAACTTTATTTTTATTTTATCTAAAAACTGTTTCTTTTATCAAAAAAAAATCTTTATTTTATCTTATAATTTTATCTTTTCCTAAAAAAAAAATTCTTTTCAAATAACCTCACTTTCATAAAAAGTATGGTTATTTGAAATAAAAAGTTGTCCAATGTTTGTAAACAATTTTTTTTACATATTTTAATTCTGAATTTTAATAATACAGTTTTTAAAAATAATATCATCTATAAAAATATTGTATTACCTTCGTCTATTATATAAATTTAAATAAACGTCTATATAATGAATAATAATGAACCACCAGCAACTGTTAAAACTTTAAACTGATATGAATACTCTGTTGTTTTTTTCAACAGTTGAGTTGAAATAGATTTCAAAGTTGGTGACACCAACTTTGAAATCCAACAAAAAATCTTTGTTACGTTTAATCGACTAGAAAACCTGGCCAGTTTTTCCGTGGTCAGTATTAGAGAGCGATAGCTCTCGCTTCCCGACAAAGCTTTGATATGTTGATTATTACACAATAAAATGTTAATTAACAGTATGACTTTTTGACCGTAATACATGAAAAAGTTTTTAAAGTTGTAAAAGCTAAAGCTATGAATAAAGATTTTCAATCATCAGACATAAAGACTTTTATATAAAAACTTACCATTTAATAAATTTGTTCATTCAACTTCTCAGAGCAAACATTAAACTTCTGTAAAGAGTTTGGAGTTACAGGTAAATCCCATAGTTTAATAACATTTTTTGTTTTATTATAAAAAAAGAGGATAAATCATCTACACCAAGATATACACAATTTTTTGTCTCTTTAATCTTTATTTTGACTGGTCATTTTCGCTGTCTTTCTTTTTTGTCTCCAGAGCAAAAATTTAGCCTTCTGATAAATTTAATCTTGTATTGCTTTAAAAATCTATAAATCAAATAATTAATAATTAAGTTATAACTAAAGTTAATGTGTAAGCTTAAAGTTGTTAATTGTTGTACGCAAACTAAATATAGGTATGTATATTAAAAATTTTAAATTCATCAAAGTTTAGATTGTTATATATCATTGGAAAGTGCTTCAATACAGTATTTTAAAAGTGAAAAAATTATTAAAATCGGACTATTCTCCAAAAAGTTATGACGTTTTTAGTCGCAAATTTTTGATATATGGATTTGTTGAAGAAACTGTGGTCAAAATTTAATTTTTCTTCACTTAAATTGTTATAAAGTTTTCAATTCTTATCTAAATACCTATAACTTAGTATCAAAAGTTAGGTGTAACTGTGGGCTACGAATTTATAACATCGTCCATCTATTGGGCGTTTTCTGGGAGCTAGAGGGGGTGCCGAACCACCACCTTTACCCTGAAAATAAGCATATTTCTTTCAATAAAGTGTTTTTTTGCAACAAACGGTTATTTTTTTTATACAAAAAGTTGCTATAATTTTATTCCAGACCATCAATGATTGATGTTTATTAAAGTTGGTGATGGATATGTTGGTAATGGTTTAACACACCCATGGCCTACTTTATTTATACGGCCGGATATTTTACATTTTGAAGAAAAAAATAGAAGGCCAGTTTTTAAAATCGTTATGTTTCAAAAATTTAATACGTTTTGAACATTTTCAATATTATTTTACTTTCTACATTTAAAAAGTCCACAAAAGTTGTATTTATTCATAATTTTAGATATTAAACGAACATTTGTTAAGAAATAAATAGTGTTTATTTTAAAATTTAGTATTAGTAAAAATGATGTAAGAAACAAGAACAGTTATAAAAAATATTTAAATGTTTCTCTTTTTTCATTTAAAAATAAAATAATTATATATAATTTATTAAATTTTCTCAAATTTTCTCTTTTTAAAAGAATTAACATGATCAACAGCTACTTCACTGGTAGAGATAATTCTTTTATTATTAAGAAAAATGTTAACAACAATTCTTCCAGCAAGTTTTATCCCAGTTTTCTCATGCATGGGACAAGAAAAAGTCTGAAAAGAGTCATAAAAGTGGTTTAACAAATATTCTAAAGCTTGTCGTGCATGTAAACTAAATTTCTTTATTTTTTTATAAAAGTAGTCACCCATAGCAAAGGATGTGCAAACATAATCCAAAAGTGATGGTGAAGGAATAGTGAGACCACCCCTAGAAATAATTGTTAAATAAGCATGATCAGGATTGCTTTCATCAATATTGACACAACATAAAAATTCTTTACAACATGTACCAAAATGCTTTTTAAGTTTCTTTGCTATATAACCAGCAATATGAGCACCTACTTCCCTACTTTCTGGTGCAAGTGTCATGATTTCTGGAGTACACTGAGCTTCATCAATATCAAGAAGAAAGTTTTTCCAATCTGTTAAATTATTTTCTGACTCAGGCACTTTTAAACTATCATCGAAGTTAATACTTTCTTTAACTATACTTTTGATTTTTAATATTTTTTCAGAAATAGTGACATCTTTTAAACCTACCAAAAATCTTCCATCGCTCATTTGTCTATATTGTCCAAATCTCTTTTCTAATGGGTCACTTTGAAATCTCGCAGTTAAAACAAAGTGATATCCATCATTAAGCAAGTCCTCGATCAATGAGGCATGACTATTAAGTGTTCTTATTAGTGCTGCAGCTGTCTGAACACTTAAAGTAAACTTCTCACAGTTTCGTATCTTTTGTGATTGCCAAACTTCAATCCAATGTGCCATTTCCCGAAGAAATTCAGGTTTTTTATCACCAGAAACGACTGCATTACCTAAAATATTAAATGCTGAATACTGACATTTAGAATTTGATAAAACCCACCACTTGTTAAATAATGTAAGAAAATCTGCACTACTTTTAAGATCTGGAAAATATGAGTGAATCGCTGCTGATGTAGTTTCATCAAAAATTGCAAGTGCTAAAGAAACATTTTGTTTAAAATTGCCAGGATGTAACACTTTCATTGTTATTTTTGGTGCTTTACGCAAACCAGCATCAAGAGTGAGGTCTTTTTCATAAATATTGTGGAAGGTACTCCATTTAATTTCTCCCCCACATACAATTATAGGATCTTTAAATCCATTAAAGTTAAAATCTGGAAATAAAAATCTTTTGCAATTTAACAAATTATTTCTGATGTTTTTAATAAGATGTACAACATCAAAACAGAGGTAAATTTTTTTTAGATTGTAAATAAAAAACAAATCTTCAGCTTGTTGATTCGATGCACAAAGGATTTTTTTAAAAAAAAGAAACATTAGCAGAATGGTTGTCACACACAATAACTCTAACATTAAATTCACATTCAGTTAAAATACGAAGACATTCAAAAATTTCTTCTTTCATCCATTCAGCATTGATTGTTTTTTCAGGAGACGTTTTGATCACATATGGAATGTTTTGTTTCAGGCCACTTATCATAAAACAAACTATTCCCTTATACATTTCTCCAGACTCATCACTACCAATCATCTCTCCAGCAAAATACTCCTCACATTTTTGCAAGTACATTTCATCAAAAATCAAGCAAATGTCTTGAGATATCTTACCTTCTAATTTTAAACGTTTTGCACAACTTAGAGCATCAATATTTCGACTAGTTATTTTTTTAAGTAATGATAATGATGGTAAAGGCGATTCTTCACGCAAAAGTTGGTATGACTGCATAGAAGTATATCGTAATATCAGTGAATACCTTATAATATTGGCTGAATAAATAGGTTTTCTCATATATTTAATTTGCTGTAATTCAGTCAATACAGATGAAAATTGTTCGGCTTGTGATTTAATGTAGGTAGGAAAATTATGAAGCATACTTTTACAAGATAAACGACAATCTCTTCCTTGACAAAACCACTGAGGTAATGGCAGAGGTGAACCTCTGTAAAATAATTTAACATGCATCTCATTGTTTACACGAATGCACTCTGTAACCTCTGGAATAGATAAAGTACTATGACTCAATTTATAAAAAATTACATGATCATCATACTTCAAGAATGAAAAACCATCTGGAGCAAAACTTTCAGTAATATCGTTAGAGCTATTAATCAAATCATTCAATAAAAACTGTTCATATTGATCTGGCTGAAATATTCTTTTAGTTGGTAATTTTCTTAATGAATTAGAAGATTTTATAAGTTGTAATGAACCTTCTTCAGTCAAATTTGTGCAGTCAAAAATAGTTGGAATAGGCTTTAAATTTTTTATTAATCTAAAACGTTGATTCTTATTACCTTTCTTATAATATTTTTTTTCAAAATGTTTGATGCATATAACGGAAGAATTAGTAGGTGTCCAATCTTTTCTGTTTACAAATTTAATCCAATATTTTTTTAACTCTTCATTTTTTGGAAACGAAAATACTACTGTAGATACTTCACCATAATTATGATAATTTGAACGACAATTTACGACGCGACATTTGTTAACCATCTTTTTGAACTTCCAAAGCAGCTTTCTTAAAAACACTTTTCCAGAAAACTGGCCTTCTATTTTTTTCTTCAAAATGTAAAATATCCGGCCGTATAAATAAAGTAGGCCATGACACACCCTAATTTAAAAAATATTTAATTCTCTAATTATAAATAAATAAATATTTCTATATTTAATAAAATAAGTGAAACTGGTACACAGTATAAAAAACATGAAATTTTTTTTTGTTACAAGAATTTTATTTATTGGTGGTATGTTTATTGACTTGTGGGAGGAGCGTGTGCCCCCCCCCCCCAAACCTAAAAAAATAAATAAGTAAAATAAATAAATCTTTATAATAACAATTATAATTATTTTAAAATGAGTTAACAATTTAAAACCTGAATTAGGCTTTTGGCACCAAGTCTAAAAAAAAAACAATCAAAAGATGTTGAATTCTTAAAAATAATTGTATCTTTAACAAAAAAAATGAATTAGTATATTTCGTTTTTTGATATTTCATTAAATATATTTTATTTCATTACCAAAAATATCAGTGTTGTATCCTATAAAAAAAATGTAACAATTAATTTTATATTGTTCTGTATTAAAATTTTAATACAGAACAATATAGTTTTTTAACAATTAAGTAAGGTTTGTTTATTTTAATAATAGTCAAACAACGAATGTATTTGATAATAACTATCAGAATTATATTTTTCTGATTTTTCTTTGATAAAAAGTTAGGAGAAATTACTAAAATTTAGCCAAGTTCATCATTTGTCGTGTTTTTTATAAAATAAAAGAAGATTTTTTACTACTGTATTAAATGTCGTGTGATAAAACATTTTATTGTTTTTTTTATTCTTTTTACAAAACAAAATTATCTCAAAAATTTCAAAAGTTATAAATGTTATAGTAACACCCCCTACGTCAATATTTTCCAAAAAAAACAAGAAGCCGTAAAGCTCACTCTGAAACAGCTGTGAAAACGTTTTCACGGCTTAGGATATCTAAAATGTTTTAAAACATTTTAGATATCCTAAGATTAAATAGTTTTCTTGGCTTTTAGTAAATAATTAAAATAATCAATTTCATAAATGGAACACTATAATAATCATTTGTAACAATAGACACCACGTGAAGATAAGCCAGAGCCGCCTATCAAAATATTTTGGAAGTTACAACACTTGTGCAAAGGTCATTCCAAGTCAAATACTTTTATTCTTCTCTAAAAACATTTATAAAAAAAGTAAAACAAAAACATATGTTTTAAAACCAGGCATACCTGACTTGATATGACTATTTCTTCAAGTTTTATTACTTGCAATACCTTTATACAAGTTTCATCATATGCCGTATCTGTTTTGTAAGTTTCATCACTTGCAGTATCTATTTTTAAAGCTTCATTACAAGTAATATCATAATTTGCTACATGATACACTTCAAAAAAAAATCAACTCTCCTGGTCCAACATCAGCGGAAGCTGAAATTTTTTCATGTTGTAGTCAACAGCTTCAGTATCAGTAGTACCTTTATTCTAGTAAGAAATCGTGTAAACTTTGTCTTGTTTTGTTTTATTAAGTTTTTCTTCTCTACCATCATACGTGTCATACTTTGAATACTTACTATTGTACCATTCATGGTAAAGTTTTTGCCCAACAATTCTATCTGACATTACATCATCTGACATTACATCATCTGACATTACATCAACGTTAGGCCAATGTTGTATACAACATTGGCCCAACGTTGTATACAACATTGGCCCAACGTTGTATGCAACATTGGCCCAACGTTGTATACAACATTGGCCCAATATTGTATGTTATATATCGGCCTAACGTTTTATGCAACATTAGATCGTTGTTACAAATAAGATGATTTGCATCGCTACATTGAAAATTTATAGAGAAAAAAAAGAATGTATGATACAAGTATAAAAATTTATTTATTTAACATAATTTATCGGTTAAATATACATATTGCAAACACCAAACTTAAACCAAAAACTGACACATTGAGTTTTAAATAAAAAAAATTAACTATAAAATTTATAGAGTAGTTTCGATATTGGCTGAGCTACTTGTTATTGAATATTGTTTAGCTTTTGATATTTGGTGCTCACGTCTATTATTTTTTCTTCCTCTATCTCTATCACATGTCTGCATAAGCCATGCTTATTTGACTTCACAGATTCTGCAAAAAAAATAGTTGTTTGTTTAATTATGCACCAAAGAAACATATCAAATTAAAAGTTTGTAATGCAAAATTGAAACTGAAAAAATAAACTTTTCTAAACCACTTACGAATAGCAGCATATGCAATCAATATTTTTTCTATTCCAATTTTTTGTCCTCTCCCTGCATAGTTTAATTTTACAACGAGGCCATTTTAAAAAACTATTCTTAGCAAATAAAATATACAATCTCCTTTGTCTTTAATTCCGATTTGTGCCAAATAATTGACCTGCAAAAATACACAACCTGGCAATAATTAAAGTAACTTTTGTTTAGACTTAAATTAATATAAAATGTAATTTACAAAAAATCTTCAAAGAGTATTTTATTTAAAGATATCATACAAAATGCATAGAAAAATTATAAAAAAATATTTACCATTTACTTACGTATTTTCTTTTCTTCCAGAGTACTCGAATTCTTCACTGCTTTTAATAGCAATGACACTCTTTCAGGCAATACAATAATTAGTATACCTTTGTTACTCAAATTTTTATAACTGAATTTGATGTTTTGTAGTTTACCAAGTTGTACTTCAATGACGACTAAGAATGAACACTAAGAAAAACATAAATTTCAGAAAAAATAAATGGGTAGCACCAAAAAAAAACATTATAGCTTAATTGAGCGTTGTATTTTGAAAATGTCACAAAATTTAAATTTTACAAGGGAGTGAAAAATATTTCTCCTGTAAAAAATTTTATTTTTATTTTATCTAAAGATTGTTTCTTTTCTCTAAAAAAATCTTTACTTTATCTAAAATAATATTTATTTTATCTAAAAAATCTTTATTTTATCTAAAAAATCTTTATTTTATCTTAATATTCTTTTATTATAAGTGAGGTTATTTGAAAAAAATATTTTCAAAAAAATATTCTTTTCAAATAACCTCACTTTTAAAAAAAGTGTGAATCATCACGTTTTCAAAATACAGCGTTCATTTGTGAATCGAGTAACTTTTTAACTAGAATTACTGATTTTTCCATGACTATCTAAAGAAAAAAATAAATTCATGACTTTTCCAGGTTTTCCACGACTTTAGCCAATATTAACAAATTTTCCAGATTTTCAAGGTACATTATGGACCTTATCCAATGTTTGTAAATAATTTTTTTTACATATTTTACTTCTGAATTTTAATAACACTATTTTAAAAAATAATATCATCTATAAAAATATTGTATTACCTTCGTCTATTAGGTGAATTTAAATAAACGTTTATATAATGAATAATAATGAATCACCAGCAACTATTAAAACTTTAAACAGATATGAATACTGATATAAATACAAATACTGTTGTTTTTTTCAACATTTGATTTCAAATGGTTTTCAATTGGTGACACCAACTTTGAAATCCAACAAAAATTTTTTGTTACGTTCATAAACTTAAATGTTCTCAAAACAACTAAAAAAACCTGGCCAGTTTTTTGCAACTAAATATATTTTCTGTGGTCAGTATACGAGAGCAATATATGAAAAAGTTTTCAAAATTGTAAAAGTTAAAGCTATGAATAAAGATTTTCAATTATTAGACACTTACCATTTAATAATTTTGTTCATTCAACTTCTCAGAGCAAACATTAAACTTCTGTAAAGATTTTGGAGTTAATATTTTTTGTTTTATTATTAGAAAATGAGGATAAATCATCTACACCAAGATATACACAATTTTTTGTCTCTTCAATCTTTATTTTGACTGGTCATTTTCGCTGTCTTCCTTTTTTGTCTCCAGAGCAGAAATTTAGCCTAATGCTAAATTCAATCTTGTATTGCTTTAAAAATCTATAAATCAAATCATTATTAATTAAGTTATAACTAAAGTTAATGTAATATAATAATGTAATAATAACAAAAGCTTAAAGTTGTTAACTGTTGTACGCAAACTAAATATGGAAAATATCCAGAGATATTAAATTAAAAAATAATGAAACCAAGAATAATGTCCCTCTGCCTCAGAAAGGCAGAGGGACAATATGGAATATTAGAAAGCTCTACATAAGTAGAATATAAGTTCTAGTAACATCACATTTTGTACACTGTTTTAATATGTTAGTAGATGGGGTTTCATAATCAAACACAGAAAAAATCAAACAAAAGAGACATATTTAAAATGTAAAATATCTGCTTCTAACAACTTCAATGCCACATATATATTATTGATTCCTTTAATAATATATCTTATAATAGCTATATAATCTAAACTATTATAAACAATGAAAAAAAAAAATTATACTGTATGACATTTTAAATGTTTGATTGTTTAATAAAGAAGACATTTAAATGTTTGATTTGTTTAATAAAGAAGACATTTAAAATGTCTCCTTTATTAAATAAATCGAACATTTGAAATGTTTCATTTATTTATAAATAATAATATTAAATTTTATAAAATAATAATAAAAATTAATAAATTAAATTTAATAAAGATTATTAAATAAAACAAACATTTGAAATGCCAATACAGCAATAAAAATAAAAAAATAACTTTAAGATCTTACAAAAAAATAATTTGATTATTGCCTTTATTATTACATTAATAATTTAGATTGTAGTAAAAAATGTTTTAAGCATATTATTTAAATGTTAACAAATATTTCATTTAAAAAAACAAAACATTAAGTCACGAGAATCTCTTGAAGTTTACTTCTTATAAGAAACCTTTTAAGATTCTTAGAAGATTAATAAATATAGCTTCTTTTTTTTATTTTTATTACTTAATTAAATGGAAAGATATATAATAGTATCAAAGCCTTTTTTTGACGAACGGCTATTTCCTGAGATCGATCCCTGTTTTGATTGGTTAAAAATTTTGAGTTTCGCAGAGTCCGATTTTGAAACATCTCGTTAGCCTCTAAGACTTGAGGAAATTTTTAACGCATGCGTTGTTTTAGTAGGTTTAAATTCTAAACCTTGTTTTTAAAAACAACGCGCGTTCTTCTAATAGCAACTAGTTTGGTGAACTTAAAATTTATCAGAACTTGTTTATTAAATTTGAAAAATAATAAATTACAATGGTGAGTTTTTCTATTAATTATAATAATTCTTATATGATGAAAAAAGATTATAAAAATTCTTTTATAACAAAATCTTATATTTACCTTCATTCGAAATAAATAGAAGGTTATAGAAGTCCATGTTTACATTTACATTAAGATATATAAAAAGTTATAGATTTCTATCTTATATTTGCGATGTCATTATAATATATCTATAATCATATTCATAATATTGATATAAGAAGAAAATAATGTTTATCATTTATACATTTTTGTTCTATTTATACTTTTATATTCTATAATAATGATATTAGATAGGATGTATGCATATTAATTATAAATTTTATTCTATATTGATTATATCTGTATAGAATTAAAATCTTTCATAGATAGTATATATGCATAACTAATACAAAATATGTTATATTGATTAAAATGTTGTCTACTTAACTCATTAATAAAAGTCAGTTCATTTGATTAGAAATTATAATTGTAAAGATGTGTTCAAAACAAATTCCTGAAAAATTTCTATGAATAATGTATCAAAGCAAGTCATGCTTTTGTTGAGAATAGTGAGTGTTTTTTATTTAAAGTATTTGCTACCTTAACATCAGTTGATCAAATTGTCAAATAAATCTCTTTTCATAATAAAATTGCTACTAATTATCATTTTGTAGAGTGCATTTTAGTTATCAAAGTGATAAATAGCGATAGCTTGCCTCATAAGCGAGAAGTTCTGAGATCAATCCACCACGCTCCTGGTAGTGCTTTGCTTAACTTGTGAACCTTGACAAACAACTTTAAAACAATGTTAGAAACAATAAAATGTTACTGAGATATTTGCCATAATTATTAAAGATAAAATGAAAATGCAAATTGATGGAATAATTGTCTTCATTCATTTCATTATCAAAAATTGCTCAAGAATTTGAATTTATAAATAGCAATGTTTAAATAGGATGATTTAAAGGTAGGTCCTACATTTTAATAAAAACTTTAAATGCATAATATCTTGTGAAGACACTCTAGGTCTATGTTTTCTTCAATATTGCGAACCTACTTTTGTATCATTCAAAATATAGCTAACCGTCTGTGAATTCTCCAGTTACATCTTTTCAATTATATTAAATATAACTACAGGATTTTATGGAGTTATTAAATTAAAATCCATTATATTACCCAGATGTAGTTTCATATATATCTTTTTTTCAGATGTAGTTACATTTGGAAAAAAATAATATAATGCGTTTTATTAACCAGATGTAGTTTCATATAGTTTTTTTAAGATGTAGTTACATCTGGAAAAAAATATTAAACATAAATGCATTCTTTTAGACATATGTAATTTCATATATGGGTTTTTTTTCGATGTAGTTACATCTGGAGAAAATTCTTCCAGACATTGTTGGAGAAAAATTACCAGATGGATTACAGGCTGAGAGAAAATTACCAGATATAGTTACATCTTCCTAAAGATGTTGTTAGGGATCATTGAATTTCCAGATAATACTGAACAAATGTTGATGGAATAAAAAAAATACAGATGATCTTGAACAAAAGTATACAAATGATCTTAGACTACTCTACAGATGTTGTTGGACAAATGTAGTAATCTTTTACTAGGTTTTATAATTAGGATAAAGTATTTTATTTGCATAATTAAATTGAACTATATTAATAAAATTTAATTATCAAGTTTTTAACTAAGTTAATAAAATTTTCTTAAAATAAACTAAATTAAAGTTGAAAGCAACAACAAGCTAACATCTAGTTGTATAAAACATCTTAAATAAATATTTTGATTGTGTTTTTAAAGCTGAATTAGGTTTTTCCAAGCTCTATGCAATCATGTTAATTATATACAAGTATGCTGCCAAAAAAAAATTATCAATGATGGTAAAGGTATTTCTTAAGAAGTTAATATATTTTGCATTTTGTTTTATATATATAGTTGACGGGGTCTTTAAGTTAGACTTGGCAGTTCTGTTCTTTTTATATTCGATTTATAACGTTATGAAATAATGGCTTTTTTATGTATAAACATATTAAGTACAAAAAATTAATAATATTAAATATTAGGTACAAAAAGGATAATTATGCAGTAAACTTTTTGGAAAAACAAAGCAGTTTTAATTTTTATAGTTTTAATTATATGCAGAACCAGGAATAATAACATTATAAGTAGGTCCTCTTATATTTCTTTTAGAGCACATTCTCAGTGTGTATGCACTGTAAACAATAGTATCAACTATTGTTTACAGTGCACTGTCTTTAAGTATTTTAATGAAGAACGAAAAAAATTTTGCAAGTTTAAAACATTTTTACAATCCAGTTATGTAAACAATGTTATGAAGTATATCTACACTTGAACATGAAATAATAAATTATTACATCATGTAGAGTAATGCAGGATAACTGGATCTACAGCGAAATGTTGCATGGTTTGTTTTGTTTTCAAAGATACATATAAAATATATATATTTTTTTTAAAGAAGTAAAAGTAAGAGATGCAAAAACAAAAAAAAATTGCGAAAGCAACATCTGTTGTGTAGTCCTAGATCATTTATATTTTTCTTTAACTCCAACAATATTTGTCCAATATTATCTGGAAATTCAATGACCCTTAGCAACATTTTTAGGAAGATGTAACTACATCTAAGAATTTTCCTAAAGTCCAATAACATCTGGAATAATTTCCTTCAGATATAGTTACAACTGGTAATAGTTCTATACCTAGCTACATCTGGATGAAATAATGGATCTTTCGTTAATATTTTTTTCAAATGTAGTTATATCCAAAGAAAGTTACTAAATAAACAATCATCTGGCTGCATGTATGCATTATTGTAATATTTTCAATAATTATCATTAAAATTTAAAATTTATTGCATAAATAGTTGTTACCTTTATAAGATCAATAAATAAGCACTTAGGGATTAACTAATAATGCATACATTGTTTCTCCTCGCTTTTTTTCTAAAAGCCCTTTATTTTTAATTTTTTCAATTTTAATTTTTATTTATTCAAATAATTTTTTATTAAATTATAAAGGAGCTTTATTTTCAAATGACCTTTATTCTAGTTAATAAGATATATAATAATTAAATATATCAAAGATGCTTATTAAATTTTATCCATTTTTCATCAATCCAAAACAATTTTTCATGCATTTGCAAAGTGCGTGCAAATTAATGATAACTAATATGCAATAACTTTACGGCTGTCGACTGTCATCATTTAATACATAAATAAATTTATTTACTTTTAAAAAAACGTATAAACTTAAAGAAATTTAAATAAAAGGGAACTAAAAGTAAAATAAAAGTTATTAGGTATTTAAAAAGTTATTATATTAAGTATTTATATTATTAATAAAGTATCATATTATTGGTGTTGTTAAACCCACAGTAAAAAATGAAAACTATAATAAACATAGTTCTATATAGTTTATTTAATTAAATATATTTTTGCAAATTTATTTAATTTTATTCAATTAAATATATTTTTGCAAATCTAAAACTTTAAAAAGGACAAGCAAACATTTTAATTTAGCAATAATAAGAAAGTAAAATAAATTAAAAAAGCAAGTTTTTGAAGAAAGCAATGTTTTAGCATAGTTTCTTTTAAAGTAATTGCAAATGCATACATTTTAATTAAAATTTCCCATGCTTTTGTAAATGCATCTTCAGTTGTGTGCTTAATTATTAAACTTAAAAGTTATACTATTTAAAAAAGTATTAGCATGGTTTCTTTTAAAGTTGTTGAGTGCCAACGTTTGCTTAAGTAAAATTAAGGAAACGTGACGTTTATTTTTCTATCCTTTTTTTTTAACAAATGTTTGCACGTTTGTCGATTTGTTGCGCCCTGTTTACATAAAAAATTTTATTACATTAGCAATACTTTCTTACAAACAAAACTATTTTTTTACTTTATTCATCATAATACAGTAGTCATTAAACTAACTTTTTTGCTATTTATTAGCACTACTTTCTAACAAACAAAACTATATTTTTACTTTATTTATCATAAAACAGTAGTTTCTACAGTAGTAAAACAGTAGTAGTAACAATA